CCACCGAAAGGAGGAAAATTCAGAGAAGTTACCAGCAGTCTCTTTACAGCGATTGGCAAAAAGAGAAAAAACAATTTAATGCACCTCCATGATGAAGGTCCCTTAGTGCTGTTGATGGGAATGTGTAACCATTTGCAGAAAGTCAAATCCTAGTTCAAATAACTGAACTGTGTATCCTTTGGAAGGGGATGGATGCAAAGTGAAGACTGAGAAATCATGGAAGGAATTCCTACAAGTTCTACAAACAGGAAAGGGGGAAAGCGACAAATTGCTTTTCCCCAATCCCTCAATATTTGGGCGGTGAGTAGGGGAGAGAAAATGAAAGGTATGGCAAAGATTTCTTCCCAGATTTCTCCCTAGGACTGAGGCACAAACATATTCAGGTTGTTCAGCTTAACTGTAAGTTACTACAAGGAGTAAGGCTTATGAGGGCTGGGTCACACACTGTTTCAATAAGCACATTTAATGGTGCCTTGATGGGTGTTTTTGTCTTCAAAGATTTTGTTTTGGGTCACTGCACCCTAACTTAATAGGGATCTGAGATGGCTTGTACAAACGAAGCTAGTATTTGTGTTTAAAAGGAAATGTCTGCTCACTTAAACAGCTCAGTTCTTTCTGCACTGTTGCCCCCTACCTGATGCCACTCTTCTCTCTTCCCTACTTCAAATCCTTCATCACCACCACCCCTTTTCACAGCCCTCAGCACAACTAGAACAAATCCTTAAGCATACATATTTATGCACTATTACCCTTGTCTCTCCCTAGTGCTCAAATTTAGACTGTAACCTCCTCAGGGCAGGGACATGTATTTTTCTTATGCTGCTCCTTGCAGTTCCATGCACACAGATGGCATTATACAAATTAATGCTACATAATAGAACTATTTTGCATTATAAACACAACGTTGCTTGACTCAACCTGTCTGACCTTGCTACCATTTCTATTGTCTTATGACATTAAGCACTAAACAGCTGTCCTGAGATAACTTCACAAGCAATGTTTACAATATTACCATAATGTGAGCAAGATTAGAAATATAAGGTGGTATTAAACTAAGTAATATCAGAGCAGACTCAATAAATCAATGGACTTAAGTTAGTCATGACTAAATCCACAGATTTCAGTGGGCCTACTCTGAATATAACTGGTTGACTACCACCCATATTTAATAAAATAAAAAGTTGAACTAGTTCTGAGTGAATGATGTTGCAGACTTGGCGGCAGCGGGCTACAGGAAAGTTGCTATAGTTCAATGGTGGATTCAATGGCATCTCTAGGTAGGGAAAGATCCCTGTCCAAAACCCTAGTCAGTTTTGACAATACTGAGCTAGAAGGACTGCTGGCTTGACATGGTGTAAGGCAGCTTCCTAGATACCTATGTTTCTTCACTGTTAGTTCTAGAAGAGACCCTTGTTGATGCGGAAAAATTTGGATTTTGACTTTTGCTTTCATGCATAACCACCAAGGCTTCTCAAAAGTAAATGTTCTTACAGGCAAATCCTAAACTTGTTTTACTTTAAGGTATATTTCAATGTGTTCAATACATTATAGGCTGGATAATATATTAAGCTTCAAATGAGGTTATCCTTGTTGGGAATTTTATGCAGCCGATGCTGCTAGTGTGATTAGTATAAATCACATGAGATGTCTGAGAAGAGTGTGGAAACGGAAGACTGTCCTATCTCTTCCATCTGAGCGTGTTTTGTACTGTACCTTCACTTTTGCAGTAAGCAACAGGTTGTTCTGCCAGAGCTTGGAGAACACAGACGTGATTATGGATTGTCTGTATAGAATGTAAATAAAATGTAGTTTAGATCTACAGATGTTTCTTTCTTCTTGCTGTAGGATGCTAGAAGACTTGTGTGCATTTTCATATGAAAAGTGT